AACGATCAAGTAGTATCGTCTCCGGACATATATTTAATGTTTATTACGTGTAATTTAAACCACTTTAAAAACGGAGAAAATGAATTTATACCTTTTTGTTTAAATAAGCGATCACGTTAAACTCAGCGTAATATTATTCGTAATGTAATATCCGAGTAAGTTGCTCGTATTTCCGCGACTACTTTGTACATTATTTTGCGTACGTTTTACAATTTTTCTTTTTCTCTCACTCCCTTTCTCTCTCTCTCTTTATAAACAAAATATTATTTGCACAAATTGAACGCAGAATTGACTGATATCGTTTAATGTTGCTAATGATTTTTCGACGATATCGCAAATCTTTACATTGCGGTGTTCTATTATTATATTCTGCATCTCGATAAAATCTTATTCATACGACATCAAAGATAAAAAATATAGATACCTATCCGTAAATATGTAAATATCTACATTACATTTTTATATTTATAATATTAAATATTATAACAGATGTATAATATTTAAATATTAATATTATATTAATATTATTATAATTTTATAATTTTACGTTTTAATTGCAAGTTCTCTTCGCGAATATCCCGTCGTATACATATATGCTTTTTCACCACAATAATATTAATTTAAAGGTGCGCGCTGTAATAGGAGATGAGCTTCTACGGAATTATCAGAGCACAGATTGCCTGATTACATTACTTTTTACATTTTATATAAACAAATGATAAGCTCTCGCGGGACGGCGATAATTATGGAAGCTTTATACCTCGCGCATCAACTTTTCTCATTTTCATCGTTCAAAAAAAACCAATTTGCAATTACGTAAAATTCAAGAGATTTATTTTTGTGATTATTTTTATCTCCCTCCCCCCAAAAAACGGGAAACAAACAGATTACTGTTTCACCTCTTCCTCAAATACAAAAAATTCTATGTCAGAAATCGATATAATATTTTTATTTTGCTCTGATATTTTTCGCGCTTCTTTAGCGAGGCTAGAGGGATTCATTAAAAATAAATATCTAATTGAGAAATAATTTGATATCCATAATCAAAGGAAATTCGTGTCTTGTGCGCAATTAATCAGATTCGATAAAAAAATTTGTTTTCAACTACCATCCGCGTCTTCCTCGTTTGTTGAAATTTAAATGTATATTATTTTGCGTTGATATATTTCGAAATAGTCATTAAGTGATTCACGAAGCGAGAAGAACGACAGAGCAGAGACATATAAGAGTTTCCTTTTCCTTTTACTTTACTATGAAGAGGCCACGGCGCGTAACATTATATGTTCTAGTTAAATATATACGATTCCGATACGAAAGGTTAACCGATTTATTTGTCACGCTGCATACGCAAGCGTTTTCAGGGTACAATGTGATTCAATAAATAAATAAATAACAAGTACATCTGTACGCAAATCTATATCGGTTATATCTATTGTGTATATATATATATGTGTGTGTGTGTGTGTGTGTGCGGATTCGCGTGCATTAAAAAGCACTGTCTGCATACATTATTAAACATGCATACGATGAGTCGACACTAATGACGCGCGATATAAAATGGGAAAACGTAAACATCTTTGGCGAATCTCTTTCGCCCTCCTTCGAACAAGATTACTTATTCAACTTCGCGGAAAGAATTTCCCGGCTTAATCAAAAATTTAATTAATAATAGAGAGTGATATATTTATCTGCGTCGTAAGAGGGTCTCTCTCGTGTTATCATAAATATATATATTTTCCATAAGATAAGACCTTATCTGTATCGATAAGACAAGAATACGTCCATGTTTGAACTTTGCACAATCAATGATCCATAAAGTAAATGATTTGCAATTGCGAATTATCTTTCCCTTAAATATATTTTCTCGGATGAATTATTTCGCTTCACGTGTGCCGGGGCTTCGCGTTGCTCTCTTTACATAAACTACTACTTACGTAATCCCTCCTCTCTCTATCTCTCTCTTTTTCTCTATTCAGCGTAGTTAATTTTTTAATTAATACAAATTGAAATGTTGACAATCGCATCTTTCAAATCGGATTCCGTAATCGGATTTTGAAGCACTAGATTTTCTCGGAACGAGCAATTTTTTAGTTGGTTCGTCACTTTGTTAAAAATGCAGGCAATTGATACGATGAATGCGATTCAGAGCTTACACAGTCGTCGTGATTATGACCTATATATCGGTTGTTTATTGCAGATCCATCTTGAAATACCGCGCTACAATACTGGATTACATAACAATGTTTTAAAATAATTCGTACGGCTTTTACGCTTCAACGGACCTTACGTCGGCGATGTCGACGTCACTATTTCCGTATTACGTATAAAGGTCGATGGGAAAAGTTTTAATCGCAAACGATTAAATCGACCGAACCCTTTACCCTATATGTCGCTCGACGTCATATATCGATAGTACGGACCTATCCAAGGGGAATAATACGGCAGCTCTCGTCGTCGCACCCTTTAATTGTGACGTGAGTGAGTCCGACCCCCTTTCATTATGACGTAAAAGCGACCAGTTTCATTGTTCAGATACGGTCGCTCGTTATCGTTAGTTTATAAATACCGTAACTTTCATCCCTCGCACGCGAGAACGTAGGTGGAAGATCACGGATAAAAAAAAATACGATTTAATCTCGCGGGTTAATCCTCCCTTACAAAACGCTAAAAATCCTCTTTGTGCAAAAATATGTTCCAACTCGGTAATCCTTTCTCTTGCCGTTACAGAGGGACGACACGAGTCTGCTGGCTCAATTCTTTTACGCTGACGAGTCGCTGAACGCGGTCGCCTGCGAACTGGACTCCTTCGACGGTCGACAGGAACCGGAGAGATGCACAACGCTGGTGAATCAATTGCGACACTGTCAAGACAAGGTGCTGACCATCTGTAATCAGATCATGGACGATCTGATACCCGAGAGCCGCGCGAATCGAGACTTCAGGGTCAAGTTCCCCGATGATGTGATGCAGGAGAATCTGGCCGGGCAGCTCTGGTTCGGCGCGGAATGCTTAGCTGCCGGCTCGTCGATCATGAACCGGGAGGCCGAGAGCTCGGCCATGAGGCCGTTGGCGAAAGCTCTCACCAAGTCCTTGGAGATTGTCAGGAATTTACTGAGAGAGCACGCGCTCAAGGGCCACATGAACTTGAAGGTATTATGGATTCGCGAGATAAAATATATTTCGGTTCTTCTTGTGGAAAGAAGATAACACTTCAACAAAAAATGACTTTTCTTTTGAACACCAGAACGAGACGTTTCTTGTAGCTTTTTGGACGCTGAAATGCGAATTGCTTTATCATAATTTTGAGAAATTTTTAATTAAAGTTGCTAAAAGGACTATTTTTACAAACTTCGTCGTATTATAGTTATAATATACATATTACGTACTAGAAAAGTTTTATTGTAATCAAAATAAAGTATGTTGTTAGGACTTTCAACCCTCAGAGGGAATTTTTGGTGTCGGTTATTGTTAATAAGATATTCATGGTTAATTATATGAGCTGTATTGCGAAAGTTAGCTGTGACTTAATAATTAGATCAGTGACGTTTTACTAAATAGCTTTTAATTATGTTTATTTAAACTTGAGAAGTTTAGGTCATTGAATACGAATTCAATGTCAAAATTGTCAAATTCAAATTAACTCAACATAGAGAATGTTAAAATTTTAAATAGTTTTTTTTTTTTTTAAATCTGTTATATTGAGTCCATTTTAAATTTAAAAAATTAAAAATTTCTTTTGAGAGTTTAAAGTTCTAACAATATACTTTATTTTGAGTGCAATAAACCTTCTCTAGCACGTTACATATTGTAGCTATAATACTATAACAAAGTATGCGAGAATGCCCTGTTTTGTAACTTTTAAAAATTTCTCACAATTGTGACGTGATAGAATAATTTGGAAACCAGATTCGTATTCAGCACCAAAAACTATTAGAAACGAGTTTCGTTCTGATTAAGTTTTTCAACAGTATAATTATGCAGATAATTGTGCGAACAATTAATAACATCTTTCTCTTTTTTAGACACAAAATCCGCTCGAGCCATCCTTGGAGAAGCTCATCGAGTCGCTGAAGATCTTCGATCGGCTTTTTGCCGACTTTGAGCTGTGTTACGTCGGCGCGATGGTACCGGTGAAATCGACGAAGGAGTACGAGCAGCAGGAACTTGTGTGCGTGCTATTCTCAGAGACTTTGCAGAGAGCGCTTGAGCGTGGATTATTGGACCAAGCGGATGTGGACAACTATGAGCCGGCTTTGATGTTTACTATTCCGCGATTGGCTATTGTCTCGGGACTCTTGGCGCCGCCCGGAGGACCGTTGTGCCTCAATTCGTCCGATACTATAAGCGAGATGTTTAGACCGTTCAGAGTAAGAGACTCGAAAATTATTTCTATGATTGTAATCTGACAATTAAGAGTCAGCAGTGTTATCGTTTTCTATCAAAGTAAAATAAGCAATTATCTTTATAAGTTTTTGACGTGACACTAATGTATTCATTTATGTATTTCTTTAAGGTATCTCTTAATCAAGGCATCTATAGTTAGTTTACATTTTTCATCGCTCTGATTAAATGTCGCGAATTTAGAATCTTGAGGCGTAAAGTGAGCGCAATTAGAGAAGAAAGAATTAATTCTTCTCCTTCGTTCTTTAACATTATTAATTTATGTACATTTATTTTGTATATTTTTTAAAATATTTTCTTATTTTTTATTTAGTAAGATATTGTGTTACGTATTCAATTACGTATTATAAAACTTGGAAATGGAAACATTTCACGTCAAGATTCTAAATGCGCTACTTGTAATCAGGGCGATAAAAAATTTAAACTAATTATGGATGGATGTCTCGATTAAAAGGCATCCTAAAGAAAAACCATATAAATGAATATAATAATGTCACATATTAAACGGCGCGTTAAAAGATAATTGGTTACTTTATTTTGATAACCCCGAGTCACATTTATTTTCAAATTGAAATACTGACGATATTGTTCTAAATTTTATCTTGACAAAGATATATGATTTATTTTTAGACTCTTCTTCTCAAGATAAGAGAACTATTATGGACGTTAAATAATCGCGAATTGTACATGTTGGAGAAACTGTTATGCTCAAACGAGGAGCCATCCAGCTCGATTACGCAGTCGACGAAATCAGCGTGTCAGGACATACCCGACTTGGAGGAATATGTCCACAATTTTTATACTGGTTATCCGAATTGCAAAGAGTTCATCATTGACTTTTACACCGTGACGAAGAATACGGGCAATAATATGGACGAAGTAGCGAGTGATGCGGTTCAATCGTTAAACGAAGACAGTTCGAGAGTCGATCAGTCGCCGAACGGGAAGCGGAAGGAGGATAGGGACGAAAGTAGGAAACAGAGGAACGACGAGGAAACTCGGCGCGAAGACTTAAACATATCCTCGGACGGGTGTGATAATAAGATAATGTGTGATAGCGACGAAAAGACGCGGAGGCAAAGTGACGGAGAAAGTGTCGGTGAACGAGTGCAATACGGACGCGAGTTCTCTGACGCGTTGCGGGACACAGGACGGTTTCCTCGTGACTGTGATTCGGTTTCTAATGGCGAAAATAACAACGAGAGTTGCGACATCGTGAGACTGGACGTAGCCGGAAGCAGCACCTCCGCGAATAATAATAACATCGAGGACGCGCGGCACGAGGGAAACTTTATCACTCCCGACGTAACTCACATGCTCGAGGGTTGCTCCGACAACATCGAGATACCGCAGACGCAGTATTTGCTTAATCAGGTAACTCGGGAGAGCCTCGTGGACGGCGAGGCAGCGCACATACCTGACAACTCTCTACCGGATCTAGATTCTAAGAGACTCATCTCGGAGGCGAATAAAACTCTCTCGAATCTTCTGCTGGACTCGAGCGAGTGTCAAAACGAGATCTCGGAGGAAACGGACTCGGGCATATGCACGGTGATCTCGTCCGAGAACACGAGCCTGTACGACAAGAGTCCGGAGGAGAAGAAGACCTTCGCCAACGAGATCCAGAGAGAGGGATGCGGCGCCTCGGATGAAGAGGACACGCAGGAGAACACCAGTTATTCCTGTTCCAATATGAACTCGCCGAAGAGGAAGAATCCCGTCATTTCCGCGAACTCGTGCGTTTGCAGCACGAGAAGCGCGAGTAAAACAACGCTGGATCATCATTCGATCGAGGTGTCCGGCTTGCATTCCAACGGACGTGGCGAATCCGACGGGAAGAACATTCCACGAATATCGTCGAACTTCGACGGCACCAACGAGGAATTCATCGGCGTGGCGTACGGCAACGGCCAATTAACTCTCTGCGACTCCAATCAGTCCACCTTCCAGATAAACTATTCCGAGAATTGGGAAAATCTCAATTTGAATATCGACGCGTCGAGTTCGACGAAAGAATTCTGGGGGGATCTGAAGTGCGAGAACTGCCCGTCGACATCACGGAGCATCGACAAGATCGGCGAAAAGATCGAGAAGTACGCGCAGGACAAGGCGAAGAAAATACGGGACGAGAGGCAGCGACGGCGACATCATCAGCACAGATTGTCGGAGCGGAACGGGCAGAGGACCCATCATCACGGTCGAAGAGACGCGGAGAAGAGACACCTGCAGATCGTGCGATCGGCCACCAGCACCGAGAGCTCCAGATCGAACTCCACGGATCGGGGCCTGAATCCGCGGCTGACCGGCCTCGGCGTCAGCCTGCATCTCGGTCAAAGCACCAGGCAGATGCCGAACTTCGGCAGTCACAGTCCGCACATGAGCCCGAGGCTTCATCACTTCGAGTCGCGCAGCACCCCGAACTCCAACGGGCAACGCTGCTGCAACCTCGGAGCGCACTGCGCGAACAGAAACTCGTCGCCGCAGAGCAGAAAGCTGTTGGATCACAGAAGATCCAAGTCCGAGCAGATCGCGAGGATGAAGAGGCGAGATGTGGAGAAAAGGGAGAAGCACGAGCGGGACAAGTACGCGCGCACGGAATCCACTAAGAGGAAACGAGGGAACGGAAGTTCCGGTAATATCATGCTGAACGACGGACTGGGCCGAAGGACGGACAAGAGCGGCCTGGTGGAGGCGACCGCTGCCACCGCGGGTACGATTCGCCACGCGAGAGACAACAACTCGCAGAGACCCGCGCGAGCGATGAGGCTGGTTAACGCGTCGACGGTATCCGGCGTAAGGAACTCGGATCAATCTCTGAGTTACAAGCCCAACGTAGCGTCGAGCTCCAGCTGTTCGAGCTGCTGCGACTCGAGTTCGGAGACCAGCGAGTTTCACAGCGACTGCCAAGACGACGAGGAGATCGCACTGGCGATGCAGGCCGCCGAGATCGCAAATAGAAATCAAATCAGAGCCAAGTTTCGGTAAGAGCGCATAAGAGCGAACATACTGCTGTAATATATTAATAAATATAATATATTAATATAATATATATTAGTGTAATACATATTACTACTATTATTATATTTTGTTTGCAGATCCTCGGAAGATCTGGTCCATCGTCTCTTCGTTTGCATAGCAGGCGTGGCGGATCAATTGCAAACAAACTTTGCGTCAGATTTACGGAACATTTTGAAGTGCGTCTTTCTCATGAACAGTAGTCAAATAATAGAGGATACCGAAGGATCGAAAGACGAAAGTTCAGCTTCCACGAATCAATCGACGATCGTACCAAGCGACACAACGGAAACAGGAAGTCTTCACGAACGGCAAGAATCATTGCCCGAATACGAAGACGTGGAGGAAACCGCATTGATACACGACCGAAGTACGGATATATTTATTTCTTCATTAATGTGACTTCGCTTGAGATGGATCTGTTCGACGTTAATATCCATTAAACATTTTTCAAAATTTTAAAATTAAATCTGGCATTTAAGTGGAAATCTAAACACGTGACATCGTTTTTATTTGACTTCCGAGCAAAATTTGACATTTTTTCCTCGCGCGGACGGATCTGTCAAGCTTCTTCGCTTAAGATGGAACTGTTCGACGTTAATATCCATTAAACATTTTTCAAAATTTAAAAATTGAATCTGTCATTTAAGTGGAAATCTAAACACGTCACATCATTTTTATTTGACTTGAGAACAAAATTCGATATTTCTTTCTCGCGTGGATGAATCCGTCAAGTTTCTCTCACCCCCGAAAAATCAAATATTTCTAATTTGACACATTTCGTTTCTCCAGCTTCTCCCGTGACCGAGAGAGGAGAGGAATGCGTCGAGAGAGCGCCCGCTTGGGTTCCGGACAACGACGCGCCAAGATGCATGGCCTGCCAGGCGGGATTCACGGTCGTCCGACGTAGGCACCATTGCCGAAACTGCGGCAAAGTGTTTTGCGGTCGTTGCAGCAGCAACAACGTCCCACTGCCTCGTTACGGGCACACGAAACCCGTAAGAGTATGCAACAGGTGTTTCCTGTACCAAGTGACGCCCTTTACTACGGTCTCGCAAGTCACGTCCACCAGTTGAATGTTTCTGGAGTGGCTTGTAAATCCGATTATATTTTCTATTCGAATTCCCCGTGTGTTACCGTGTATTCCCTTTCGATGTGTGCAACGTATTCGCGCAAAATTCGCAACCATTTCTCAACCGTGTAATTAAAGTCATTATTCTTATATAATAGAAACCGATAATTCTCTCAAAAGGAGTTCTCTTTACAATTAGCAGAGCGGGGCAAATCGGGTGTAATTATGTGATATACTCGCACAGTGTTTAAACGAGAACTTTAGTCCAATAAATTAGCTGCTGTTTCATTAGTCGAAACAGTCGTTCTTCGATTCGGAATTGTCAAACTATTCGGGTATTTGCATCTTTTCTTCTCTCTTATCTTTCTCCATATAAGTGATATATACATATATATAAAATCGAAAAATCTGGTGGCATTTGATTTGTCCAATTCTTCATGTTTAATAGTTTGTAAAAAGAGAAACCGTAGAGAAACACGTTTATCGTATAATAACAAAAGGAGAAATTGGAGGGAAATCGCTTGTCATCAGATCGCTTTACCGCGTTGTTTATACACTTACGTGCACTTAAGCTGTAAAATTAGATATACCAGCGCTAATCGCTCATATTTTTACACATTGTGATTAGATATTCTTCTCAAGAAAGTGTTACGATTCGTGACAACTGCGACAACGCAATTTAACTTTGGATAGATAATAAGATTCCCTGTAAATTGTTCAAATTTATTTAAGAAAAGAGGTTCTGTCTCTCTTCTCACGAGGGACTTAATAAGTAATAAGATAAGATTGTATAGAGAACTAATTATCACGAAGAGCGTCTTTATATTACCATTTTTATTATTCTTAATATATTATTTTATTTCAGGTGTAATAATTATTTTATTAGCGTTACTATATTATTGTTCTTATTATTTAGCTCTCGGAAGAGTTATATAAAATGAAAAATAATTATTAATTTCTTAAGTTATAGTTTTGGCGAATCTTACGATAAACTAACAGTTTTTATTTCTGTTCAAAGTGTGATAGAACTTGTGTTTTCTAAAACAAAATATACGACTAATACGAATGATGTTTAAGAGTTATCGATATGTTTATAATAATCGCATTGCAAATAATATCCTTGGTACGTGGCACACAAAACCCATATAGTATTTCTATATTGCAATAATTATCATTCAGATTTATTAATCCGTGTCGATCGCACACTTATATTTAAAAGAATAAAAACTTGAGTAAAGTGTTATTAATTACAACAGAATTTCAAGTCAATATAAATATATATATATATATACATACATATATATAAAAATAAGCGTTACACATCACTGTTATCCTCGAGACATGAAGATTCTTTTAATTTGAGATATTTAGATTTCTCGTTATATGTAGAAATCGAGAAACTTTATTCCATGCTTGTGTGTTTTTTAAGAAAATTCTTGACAGTCGATAGATGATTTTTCACGGAAGACAAAAAGCTTAAGAAGCATCAAATCCTGTGGAATGTATATACTTGTGTGAAGTATAAGTGTGAGTACATGTGTGGAAAACATATAACTCGAATAATGATAATGTTAAGGAAAAGAGTGTGGGTGAAAGTTCTTTTCTTTTCTTTTTTTTTTTGATGTCTAACGGGTCGTGTTGCGATAGAATTTCTAAACATCTACTGCCCGCTGAAGTATATTTCGAAATATATATACATAGGTGCATAGCATGCACACATACACACACGATAAACTCCTGTGCCAAATTTACTATGACAATACGTTCCCTTCTACAATTCACACACTTTGGTTCCTATCAAAATATTTGGACAAGAATACTTCCGATTATGAATATAAAAGCATCGCATTGTGTTAAAAGTATCCGGAAATTGTATAATGAGAGAGAGAGAGAGAGAGAGATAAATTCAAAACGAACACTCGACAGAATAGTGTGTGCGCGTTTTAATTAATAAAAAGACTGGCTGAATGTACAGATATCGTTGCTTGCTCATTATTACTTCGAGATATTCGTTGTAAATACCGGACAGATTTCGTTTCTAATTTCTGTTTCCGATATATCTTTCTTTCTATTATATAGCGAGAAAGAGATCATCTCTCTCTCTCTCTCTCGCTCAATTTCCCCAATGTCTTGTCAAATCTTCGCAATAAATTTCAATTTGACATTTAATCAATGTTTAAAAATCCATAGAAATCTGAAATGAAATCTGAATAATTGACAACAATGGTGCGACCGTCAATACAAAAAAATCAACTTATCACGATCATATACAATTAAATAAATAAATATATAAATTGAGTCGATTCGCTGTGGTTAGCTTTATCGAAGGAATGGCGTTAATTGAAACCGACGTGTATCGATTAATTCGACATTTAGATATAATTATCGATTTTCATTACGAGAACGTAATAATGTGTCCCCTTAAACGACGAATAATGATATATCATTCGAGGCGACATCAGATTTGGAAGTCGTTGTATATTATAATCGCACGTGTGCATTGTAAAATATATAGATAGAACTTTCCGAAGAAAAAAAATAATTATTATAGTGTCCATGGAACGCGGCGAGAGTGCTCGTAAGACGTGTAAAATTAGCTAGAGAGAGATCAATTTATTTCCTTATATATATGTGTAAGGAATATCACATCGAGAGAGAGAGAGAGAGAGAGAGAGAGAGAGAGAGAGAGAGAGAATATACCTTTAAGATTACGAACGCGCTTAAAGACGGAGACGTTATTTTTTACACGTAATCTCGATGCCTTGCTAGAATATCGTGCTTTCGATTTTGGACGCGAGGAAAAGAGTTTCGGAGACCATTATTATAGGGAGTATATCTCATCCCTCTCCTCGTACACTTGTGCGAATCATTTTGGTGATCAGGATTTCCCCCTGTGCCTAATACATATGTCACAAGCTAGCCTGTGAAGATAAATTGTACCGAAGCAAAAAAAAGAGGGGACGAAAAAGAGGAAGAAAAGGAAAGAACGCGTAAAAGAAAAAATTCAAGACGATATAAGCTATAGAATGGATCAAGTATCACGATATTGTGAATAAGTTCGATACGATATTAGAGCAGTTTCGAACGTCGAGCGTATAAAAAGTGAATAATAATAATAATCATATTTATATATCTTTCTTGCGAAATCTAAATATATTGGAGAATCAAATATCATGACATATATTTTAGATCGGCTACTCAATATTGACCATTCGACGTTGAGAAAGTGATTTGTCTGTGCTCTTTCCAATATGGCGATGTTGATCCACTCGATACATCAAGGGAGGGTTTTACGATCTGCCAATTAAATAAGAAATTATTCCGATATTATATGAGGTGTTAGAATGTGTACTTCGGAATATTATTTTTGTATATTATTTGCCTAAGTGTATGCGCGTAGAGATGTATCCTCGACACATTTGTTGTGGGATATCGCATTTCGAGTGAGATCGGTAACAGCACGTAATCCCCTGCGGAATGAAACGATGACGTTGAAACGTTAACTGACATGAACGATGTAGTATTTGACGCCGAATTAACTTGTGATCGAGGAGCTAATGATGCGTGACGTTGTGTCAATGATTTCAAATTAATGAGGAACGCAACGGGACTTGCGAATAAATCGTTAGAATATATGTGTATGCGTGTGTATGTGTGCATGTGTAGATTTGCGCGAGTGTGTTCGTGTGTTTTGTTGCGAGAATACAAGTTATTCGCAATATTGGATCGCGAGACGATGTGTCTCATCAATACTTGAATGCACTGTGGTTTCGGTAATGGACGTATTAAAATACGAATGTAAATAAAGTTTGTTATTCAAGGTGTTTAAATTGCGTGATTATTGTAACGCTGCTTCTTTTAATTATGCAATGTGACAAAGTTATATCCGATTTTCCCATACAAAATCCTTTTCTTCTATTTTATCTTGGTGATATAGCTATATAAATAAGTATGCTTAGAATTTTTCGAAATAATTGTAAATTTATTTTATACGAATATTTGAAGATATTTTTTTTATTATCAAATTTATTTTAAAAAATTATATTCGCCGTTTTTGTGGAAATAATTCTTAGAGAGCTACATTTCAATACACTGTAAAAGGATTTAATGCTATATCGATTACTTTAATATGATGAAGGCGAGAGTTGTCATAGCGACTAGTCAACATAATCTGAAATCACGGTATACTAGCAGATTTACCAGAAACATTCCTTCACCCGTTACGTTATCATCGACACGTTAACATATAAATATAATCATTCAAAATATTTTGTAGTAACCAGTTGATTTAAAAAATCGACAGTCTTCCAACCAATTAAAGTTAAAAAATTTTCAAAATTTAATAAATCAATATCTTGTGCCACAAACATATAATTTATCAAATAAAAAATATAAGATTTACTTGCGTATATTTTTATCGACAAGTTCTAATCTCACCGATACATCATGATGGACATGGAGATGAACGCGGGATTGGACGGTGTAAGTAAATATTTATATATGTATGGAAAAAGATAAATGTATTTCATATATAAGTGATATTTAGTCCTTATAATTAATTTATACTGTTTAATTCTTTATGTGACCTATTTCTATTTTCTCATTTTAAAATATCGCACATCATATACATATGATATCGATTACGTAGCAATTGATTGTGTTTGTCAAGCAGCTGTAGAAGTAAAAGTCAATCGTCATTTTTTTCTAAACAATGTGTTGTCTTGCAATATGCATGATGTGTAATAAATAATAATTTCTAAGACACGTATCTCTTTAATACGGAAATAAAATCATTGATAATAACGACAAAATGAAGAGAGCGAGGCAGACAGGACAGTCAACATCGGAGGCGCGCGACGATGTTATTAAAATAGAATTAATTAACATAATTATATAACCTAACCGCGCGACTTGGAGCGGTAAGCATTTGCGGAAAACTTTCCAAGTTCGTTTCGAAACTATCCGCAAAGTGGAACAGTTTCTGATGGAAATCAGAAATCATCTCTCAAACTGGCGCGAAATCTTATGAGAAATTCTCGAATGAATTTACATGAAACGACGTCTCTCTCCCAATTTAAGCACACAATTTAATATACTTTCGCTCGAAACGAGCTGACTTCCCTCGATCGTGATTGTAATTAATATCGAGCCGTCTACGTCAGAGTGGCGCGGATAGGTGATGATCGAGAGCACTCACGTCGAAATATCCTGTCACGCCAACGAAACGATTGCTGCTTTCAGGATGACGGAAGCGAAAGCAGTCAGCCTTCCTCGGAGAGGAGCTCGGCGAGCAGTACGTTTTGTACTCTGGAGAAAGATTACGCGAGGGTAAGTGGGGCCCCTTTGTTTTCCTCGTCTCTCCAACGCATAAATCCTCGAAGCGAATCTCTCTCGTCGACGATATATATATATATATATATATATAATCCGCTATTTAAACGCGCGTTGAATCGGGTCTCTTTTTTTCCTCCAGAATTTACACGACGGAGGTTTAATCGGAGTTACGTCGCTCGGAAGAGACTTGATTCGCGAATGTTGAATTGAATTTCGCGCGAGCGAATTGTAATATAATCATGAATTGCGCGAATTACGAATTTCCGGTAATTAGCGTACCAATTAGCGTTTCTAGGATTAAAGATATATATATACGCGCGATCTTATCTGCGCAGATTACGAGCGAGATGAAGGCTAATGAGGCGCTGGCACCCTTCGAGGCCGAGTATGCGAGGCTGTACGAGTCCTTGTACAAAGCGCATAGAAACGAGAAGGAGCTGTCGGAGCAGTGCTTCAATCTCAGGGTAAATTCGAATCGTGTCTAATTTCGAGTCGACGGATATCGTAGGTGTATGATTTTCCTTTATTTTCCTCCTTTTCATCCCTCTCTCTCTCTTTTGGCGAAACTTTCGGCTCGGCGCACCTTCATCCTCCAGACCGAGATCGAGGACAACACGTCCAAGATTTACGAGTTGAGGAGCACCGTGGAAGCGCACGAGGACGAAATAGCCCAATTAAAGCAGGAAGTGGTGAACACGACGAAGCTGGCCGACGCAGCGCACGCGCGCGAGCAAAACGCCCAGGAGGTAATCGAAAATTTGCGGCTCAACATCGTGAAACTGGGTCTGGAGATCGAGCAGAAGAACAAGCAACTCGCCGCCGAGAAGGAGTGAGTGAGTCTAAATCGGGTCTAAAGTCGGAAGGGACTCGCTTGCATCGTATTTCGCCCGAGATGGAAAACCGCGGGTGAAAAATAGAGCGCAGTTTTGTTCTAAATCGCTGGACGCTTTCGCAGTAAAAGCGAATCTTTATTTTCTCTCGCTTCTTCTCTCTCTTCTATTTATTTTTTCCCTCCTTTTTTATATCAAATGATCTGATTAATTCGGTCTGTGGGATTGATATACGCGCCCTGTGTAAAGAGAGAAAAAGGAAGTAAGAGAAAAAGCGGCGCAAAAAAATGTATATATAAATAGCCAAAGGAAATTCCAGAAGCAACTAACGCGGACGCGTTACGGTGTTAGATTAAAACGGAAATTCAATTATCGGCGGCGGGAAGTTTCTCTCTCGGATGAAACCGTTTTGCGGTTGGGAGAAGCCGTGATGTGTACGTCCGGAATATTCAACGCCGAATACGTTGCCACGCGTTGATTCTTGGTCAGCTTTAACGTCGGCTGTAAGCTTACATCGAACTCTACATTAAGCTGAGCTTTATGTACAGGCTTACAAGCAGCGCCGAGATATCAACGACCGCGAGTTTGCTAGCTTCGAAATGCGACAGTAATTCGTTGGAATAAATTTGCTTTAGCGCTTCTTCGATAATTTCGACAGTCTCTCAATTCTCGTTAAAGAGACTTACAGATTCTTTCAACTTGGCGATTTTATAATATAAAATTGAAGGGAATAAGAATCGAATTCTCTGTTCACGGCGCGTTTGCTATATATAAAGAAGATTAACAAATCAATCAAGCTAAGTACTCGCGAAAGGTCTATTGAGTAAATACAGAGATCAATACGATTCTCGAGTAATTTCGAGGATGAGAATTTTTCAATTGCATTCAATTTCCGTTAAGTGCCCCCGTGAACACTTAACGTAACGGTGACGAAAAAAAAAGAAAGAAAGAAAAAGAGAAAGAAAATCTCCGTCGCGAGTCTTGAAAAGCGTGCGAGCTTGCGGCAAATTCACGCTCGCAATAAACTTGCGGCTGCCATTGCTGCCGCGAATAATATATATGGCTTAGTCTTGTTGAGAGTTTCGCGAAAATTGCAGCGTCACCATTAGCAAGCAGAAGGAAAATCTTCTGAAGGAAAGAGAGAGGCTTGTAGGCGAGATAGAAACTATGAAGCAGCGCCAGAAGAACATGTCCGCTTACGCGGAGGAGCTCGAGAAAAGGAACAGCGAGATCGACCAACGCATGAACGAGATGCAGGAGACACTAGGCATTCAGCTAAACGAGATCTCACGTGAGAAGAGGATTCGAGAGAGAGCGGAAGCGGAGACGCGGCAGTTTGAAGAAGAGATTGCCGCGAAAAAAAACGAGCTCGAGGTGAAGCATTTAGGGAACAAATTATAGAAATTATATGTAATTAAAATTATATATAGATAATTTAAATATAATATTATATGATATATATATAATGTATATCATATAATATATAATTATAATTTATCGTGTGAAGTTGGAAATATAATTTCTATACATTTTTTAACATCCTTCTCCTTGCTAATTAAAAAGAGATCGTATCAATTCGAATCATTAATAGAATCCAGTTTCAAGGGTTCGGTAAAAAAATTCAATATTTATCGTTGTGTGTTAAAAATTTACGAACTAACGTCACATTTATTCTGTTGATTTAAAAATCGTAATTAACATCATAAAGATGCTAAGCAATAAGTTGATGCAGATCGCGAACGCGTCTATCGAGGCTAGCGCGAGCAACATAGCGAGGCTAGAGAATCTAATGAAGGAGCAGAGGACGGCGAACGAGAAGATGCAGAAGGAGATTGGCAAACTCATGTTGAAGAGAATGAATCTGCAAACGGATCTCGATAACGCGAACGTCGAAATGGAAAAGCTGGAAAAAGAGCTCGTCGATAAAGAGAAGCAATTGAGAAGCGTCAAGCACGAGCTTAACAGGTAATGGGCTGTGTAGATTAACGCGGGAACATTTACAGATAGAGTAAATATAAGCAAATCTCCAAAAGGATATTTACTTTACGCGATCGAAACGTGCTTCAGAACGAAAGAGAGCAGCGCTAAGTACAAGCACGAGAAGGACTTGATTGACAAGCGACTCCTGAAGGCCGAGAGCGAGCGGGCGAAAATGGAGCGCGAGCTAAAACAGGCCCTGATCGACATCGATAACACGAAGCACGAGACGCGGATCTGTCGCAAGGAACAGCTGGACGACAAGCAACGCATCGAGGCGCTCTTACGGGAGAGGAACGCGATCGCTCGCAGCAGGGAGACCGCCCAGGAGCGAATCAAGCGGTTGAATCACGAGCTGCTGCTGTGTGGACAGGCCAAGACAAAGGTCGAGCACGAGCTAGATACGCTGACGCAGAGCATTGACGACGTGAGGAGGCAGATGGAGATGGCGGAGAAGGAGCGGGATAAGTACAGTCTGACGATACATGGATTGGAGCAGCAGGTGAGGAGATTATTAAAGGGTATATACGAGGAGCGTCTTTTCTTTTCGTGCAGAGATATAATAGCGAGAAAGAGGAGGGACAAGTCATCGTTAATTTCCCGGAAATAGTATAACAAAAAAAAACGCCGATCTGGGAGAGAAAAATTCGCAAATTATGAAAATGAGATACGGAGAGAATTTTCTCTTAGAATTTTACCTTGAAAATCATGGCAGTCGTGAGACAATATGGTATTGGAAGAATTTTATAAGAGATTAATATCTATCACAATAAAAAATATTAATATGTATATAGTAAAATTAATCGAGCATATTTTATATCTTATTATGGTAGATATTAATATTTTTACTGTCAGAGAAACTATTATGAAATTCTTTCAATATCATATTAACTTACAATTACCATGATTTTCAGAATAAATTCTAAGAGATAATGTTCTCCATGTACTTATTGTCTGTCTACGAATATTAATAATAATGTGTCGTTGCCTAAATTATCGCGATAAAATTCCAATAAATGTGTATCTCCACGTGTATCTTTTTTTCTTCTTTCTATTTTACTTCTACTTTATTTGCATGATTTTTGCCTATTATTCTCCTTTACGCACGTTTTTACCTCTCCTTGCATGCATGTTTTTCTTCTTCTTTCATTTATGCATATTCTTTCAATGTTTTCTCTTCCCTTCTTTTCCATTCTTTTTCTTCCTACATCTTATGTCATATTTCACCGTAATATGTCATATTTTACCGTAATATGTCATATTTTTCCTTTTTCGCTATACCTTCGTTGTATTATAAAATTGCAACGCGAATATTCCCTTATTTTCTTCGTATAAGACTGGGAAGTTTGTTCTCAACTTTTAACAAATTATTAATTACATCGGTTGTAATTTATTCTTAGATTAATAGCTAATTAGATCGGTAATTGAGCAGATAATTAACAATGCAAAGTCTATTCTCTGCGTAGAAACTGTATAGATACAAAGTAAATAGCTTCTGATGTTTTTAATAACGAGCAATTAAAGCGACAAGTAGTGCGGGCAATTAACTGTATATTTGTCTCCGTTAGTTTACCAGAGCATGCAAACGTGTCAAAGAACTAAACATCAAAAACCATCGGTCATTTCGAGCGTAAAACGAGCCCATGTTTTCTCTTTGCGGCGCTATTTTTCATTTAACCGAAAAATATTACATTTTTTTTAAAAATCAAATTTAATTTCTCCCGTGAAGCCGCGCGGCGCAGAAATTTTTTAGTTAAAAAAGAGAATTACACAGTCGCGACGCAAACATAAATCCTGAAGATACCCCGTGTAATTTACTAGATTAGATTCGATTCTCTTATCAAGAGAGAATTTCACGTCCCCGAGAAACTCGGGGAAAAAAGCTTTTTCCGACAGAGTCCCGTGACTCTGAAATAAAATTCTCTCTATTCGCGTAAACGTGGCGTTCGAGATAATGTAGAATGACCCCGGTGAAGCGAAATGTAAATTTTCTAATGGACCATTAGAAGTAGCTAAAAAAACTGCTTGTTTTACAATCATTTTCATTTTCATTTTCCGTGGCGCGAATATTCATCCGTATAACGATTCGCATAGAATATCGTCACAACTACGAGTATAAAAATTGATAATTAATATATCCTTGAAAATTTTTCGCGCTATATTTTCGAGTCCGACGATCGATATACAAATTTAAAATTTAAAATCAGGGACGCATTTCCTTCTCGTTCTCTCGACGTTCTCTGCAATTGATCGATCGCGTATAGGAAGCAGGAAGGCGATGCGAGAACAACGCAATTGATTTACGGCGCGTTGACAGATCGAGGGTCACGTAAGCGAGACCAAGCTGAGACAGGCGGAGATCTTCGATTACAAGAAGCGTCTGGCGGAGGCCGAGACAAGGTACCGTCAGCAGCAGAGCTTATTCGAGGCCGTCCGTGCGGAGCGGAATCTGTACAGCAAGAGTCTCGTCGAAACGCAGGAGGAGGTGCGGGATTTGAAGAGCAAACTGAAGATTACGAGCCAGCAGATCGAGCAATTAAGGAGGACATTGCGACCAAAGAGGCCAGTCTAGTCAAGGAGGAATTCCGTAAGCGGTATTTTCGACTTTAACGTCCGATTATAGGTCCGCTGTCGCTTTCAGCTGGACTCCCCGTTTTGATTTTTCGCACGCGTCGCTTTTTATTACGACCTTTTTTTCATTCCCGCGCCGCGATTTATGTATTTTTTGCGTACCCTTTCATATTTATATTTTAATATGCGCACGTATATTTTTCTCATTTTATAGCTACTAATATTTCGTATGCATCAAATTGATAAACTGATTAAGCTCGTTTTTTATATTATGTATTTTTTAAACTTTCCGTACCGTGATTTATTGGTGTCATATTTATATTAACAAAATCTGTATGTATATTTATTTTTATATCTGCGTTGGTTTATTTTTATTTGTGCATTATGACATTTTATTCCTGATTCTTTGTTATGCAGACAAATAAATATAACGCAGTACGTAGAGTAAATATAGACGTGTTTCGTTTTCACATCAGCATATAGCTTTATTTTCATTCACGGATTTATATACATTTTCCAAACATTTTACGTTTAAATCCATCGTTCATCACAATTTGGTTATCGACTCGGTTGTCAGTCCGCCAAATGTTGAATTGTGTAAATTAATAAATAACGAACTATGCACGGAGCACAATGGCGAAACGCGGAGAGTATTTCGATATGCATGTCACGTGCAAACCTTGTTTAGTGACGAACATATAGAAAGAGAGGGACATGTTTCCGTATGCACACTGACGTGGCAATCGCTACAGTTTGTTCTCATTTTTTGTTTTTATTTTACGCGTCCTTCGCGAACGTTCTTCAAATCCTACATTCGAGGATTCTGACGCACCCTCGCAGAAAAAATATCGAAGAGACGACGCGCGACTCGGATAAGACGGGAGGGAGAGATCCAAATAAAATTCATGATGAATCTGGCGCCACGAGGGATTTATTATCTCGAAAGAGAAAACAAAAAAAAAGAAAAGGGTCGAGAGTGATTTCAGAAGAGTGTTTGTTTTGCAGTGCTGGGAAGGATCGAAAAGGAGAAGGAGGATCTGAAGGTCGAGTTGAAAGCCTCCCGCGTGGAGGGATCAAGTTTACGTCAGGAAATCGAAGAGGCCAAGCGTGAGGAGAAGCGCTTGAGGCAGACCATACACCAGGCGGATGTTGACATCGGGCGCCGGAAGAAGGACATTGACAATGTTATGAACGAGCGCGATATACTCGGAACGCAACTGGTCCGCAGGAAACGACGAGCTCAGTTTACAGTACAGCAGGATAAAGGTGAGCCTTCAGGGTGTCCAGCAGACTCAATGAAAAAAATTCCCGGACTTTTTCAGATTTTCCAAGATCAAAATTAATTTTTTTCCTGACCTTTTAATATTATTTTTTCCAAATATATAATTTGCATATATTTATATGCTAAATCAATTAAATGTTAAATCATGAAATCCTTGAGATATTTTTGTTAACAATGAAAAGATTTGAAAAAAAAAAAAAAAAAATTAAATCAATTACAATTTGCATATTATGTACGATAATCGAAACAAACGTGTCACTATAAACTATTTAAATATGATCACCTTTTTATATATATTATTTCAAATTTTATTTTTACTATATTTTAACAAATTATAATACATATATTTTAATATATTTAATGGTATCTAATATCACAATAAAACTTGTAAATAAAACATTTTAATAAAATTGATGTATTAATTTTTAATAAAAAAAATGAATTAAAATAAAGTTCTTGAACAATATTACATTGAAATGAAATAACACGATAATGAAAATATAAATTAACAAATAGGTTGTAGATAAATCGATTTTTTTAACAACACAGAAAATTAGCATACTGAGAGTTAAGGAAAAGTTATATATTATATTTAATAAAAAATTTCAAATTATTGAGACAGATGTAGAATAATGTGAAAAAATCCAGATAAATAATAAAATTTACTGATTTTTTCCTGACAATTCCAGATTTATAAAATTCCATGACAATACCTGGTTTTTCAGATTTCCCTGACCGCTAGACACCCTAGCCTTCTCTCTCTTTCTCTCCACACTGTAGTTCGAGATTCGCGTAATTCGATAGGTAAAATTCGTAACGTTTGATTAATTGGCGCGGTATGCGAGAGAGCAACTCTCGAAACTTTATATTTGCGTACAACGAATAAAATATATATACATGTATACATATATATCATGGTTGGGCACGATTGGGGATGCCGCGAGCGAGAAACGGAATTGAACTAAGCAAACGCGAAATTTTTTGCCGCATCCCGGAAAGAAAGCTTTTATTCTTCGTTGCAAGACGTTGTTGTCTGCAAAGTCCATTTATTTCGGCCTTCTTGAATGGAGGATACCGATTCTTTTCCGAGTTGTACACGTATATTTATACAGAATGGGCGAGGAAACAGCGTAAATGAAAAAGAGATGGCTTTCTCCTTCGTGCAAAAGCGTGAATTGATAATGTAAAATAAAATTTTTGTACACAAGAAAGATTAGCTTTTCGAAAGGAAAATATTAACACATTTTTGCTTTTTTAAATTTGAGTAATCTCTAATAATAATCTGGTATTGTCGAATTTATCTCTAAAATGCTATTAAGATGCTATTAAAATGTATACAAAATATAAAATGATATAACATTCTCCTTATAAAAAAAAATTAAATTTATATTGATAATTTAATATAATAATTTTCTACATAATCAGGAAAGAAAAATATTATAATCATACTTTGCCCCGTCCTAAAAATAATGCAGATTCTGAATACAACGCTGCAACGTGGCGAGATGCATTATAACCAGCGACTGGACGATATTAGATTGCTCAAATTCGAGGTGAAGAAGCTCAGGACCGAAAAAATGTTGCTCGCCAAAAACATTGCCAACATTAGTGATTTGCGCCAGGAAGCTTTTCATCTGAATCGCGACCTAGCAAAGGAGAGACTTAAAGTCACTGCACTCGAGGAAGAACTTCAAACTCCATTGAATATACATAGGTGGCGGAAGCTCAAGGTAGAATTTACTTTCTCTATCAATTTCCCAGAAATTCGTTCTCTCGACAACCGATATTAAAATTGGAATTATTATAATAATGTCAATTATATATTATTCCTTTATTTAAAATTTAAACATTACACAATATATAGATTTATATATAATATTTAAATTTAATTTGCTATGTAAAATAATTAAATATTTCAAAAATGAAAATTATTTATTTATAATAATTTCAATAAATAAATTTAAGCTTTTTTCTCCACAATAGGGCACAGATCCTTCGACTTTCGACATGGTTAAGAAGATACAAATTCTGCAGAAGCGGATTTTAAAAATGTCCACTGACATGATGGATAAAGAGAGAAACCTGAGGGACACCGAAAAGTTATATATGAATCTTCGTGATGTCTTATCGAGACAACCAGATCCACAGGCAGTGACGAATCTGAATAAGGTCCAAAATATCTTGCGCAAAAAAGGAGAAAAGCTCAAAGTGAGAAATATAATTTATAAGAAAAAACGTCTCCTCGAACAAAATTATTATTTGTTTTATTATTTTCACCGCTGTAATCATTATTCTTTTTATTATTCAATTACTCGAGTCAAAGAATCTAATGCTCCGAATTTACAATAATATCGCGCGAACGTTGTGTGATAAAAAGGTTAACAGAATTTTTTGCTATCGCACTCGTCGTCGTTAGTGCATAACGCAATTAGCAAACAGCGAGACGTTTTTAAGAGCTTTGTGACAAACTTTCAAACATTTGTTTCTTTGTTAGTGTCTTGTCGCCGAGTTGAACGTGTACGAGGTGCAGCTGGGGGAGTACAAAGGTGATATGACGAGAATGGACAACGAGATGTGCGAGTTGAAAAAGAAGTACTATGCACAAAAGAAAAAGCTCGATAAAATGAAGGACGCGAGCCCGAAATCCACCTATGAACCCACTCTTCCGAGTGTTCTGGTATCTAGTAAGAAATTCTACGGGGGCGGCTTCAAGATGACAACACCCACGCCGAGAAGTTGTTACGTTTTAGATTCCTCGGCGAGCAGATAAGGCAAAAGTTAACAGCAAAGATCGATAATGTTATAACGTTATTGTCAATCAAGTATTTTACAATTATAGACGTTTTCGTGTAAAATTTTGTTAAATTATTATATCCCTCTCATATGTATATGAGATGATATTCGTGTGAGAAAAAAAAATAAATTTTATATCTTAATAATTTTTCTATCAAATCATGTTTTATATTTTTGCGCGCAATTTAATACAATAAATGCCGAATCAATTAATATTGATATAGAAAATACTGCCAATTAAAAAGAGAGGAGGAAAAGCGGAAGAGAAAAAACTCGTTAAAAACCATATACAATATTTGTTACGTTTCTTACTAATTTGTAAGTGTAACTAAATAAAATATATTAAAGTGACTTTGAAACGAGATGAAAACGAGACGAATTTGTGCCGGATTCCGATCGCGCAAAATTACTGGAAATTTTTTTGCCTCTTCCTCTCTTGCTAGAACATTTATTTACCTGTAAAATAGCGGGGAGCCATTCGTTGTCACAAATAACGAGTAGGGATGTTGCGAACGTGCCGGTATCCTCTTCGAGCGAATTCCTCATCGCAGAGAATCCCATAAACGCTTGATGCGCGAATCCCCGGCACGATTTATGGTGCAAAATTTTTCACGAATTCAAGATACGCTGCGTCTTTCAAGAGGTGCACCGTTTCCTCTTTTTTTTCCCCTTTTTTTTACTCAAGCTATGCGGCCGTTCTACGTGCCCGGAATTCGCGGAACCGTTATAATTCCACTAGGATGTAGCAGAGACTGCGAATTATCGAGACCCGCGAAGAGTTTTTCGACGAGCGTTTTTAAGAACACCCGGGAGAATTACCCCGAGAGCTTCATTCCGGCAGTAATGTCTCAGCCGCGAGATAAACTCTTCCACCAAACTCGTAAAATTGCTGACGACATGCATCCGACCGCCAAAAGTGTGATTTTACTCTCTACATTATAGAAATCACGAATCGAGAATCGCTTAGTATTTTTACAATTGTTAAAAATAAGAATAATAAAAAAATAGAAATAATACCGGTTAAAAATAAATGAAAAATAAGAAAATAATTTTGATCGAGTACAAAGTATGCAAGAAACTCGTTCGTCGAAATGAAAAACGATGAAATGGCAATTAGGTACATTTGTTTCCTAAACATCGTTCGAAGTAGACCAATTTCGCGGGAATTAATTTTTCCATTTTTCGGAAAGTAAAATTTTGTCTTTTCAAGAGATTATTGCCGTTCGTCGAGCAAACTGAACAACTGCGTAAACTTGAGCGTAAAATAATACAACCATCTGAATCGGGAAGTACGTTATTACTCGCTCAACCGTTAATTAGCTCATACATATGCATACGTTCGAGTTACCAACGAATTCCTACGCGCCACATAGACCCTGATATCGATAATACGTTTACAAGCTGACCATACAGCCGGAAGAGTGCGTTTATTGGCTTCGGATAAGTCGATATTAACCCGGAAATAATTTGCGCATTCAATAAATAAAGAGACATAATCGTGCGTTAAGCCTCGTTTTAAACGGATGTATCTATAATGCACGACTAAAATTTGTTAGATCGGAATTGCATTTACAATTTTCTGCGTCCTATCAATAAAATGTATATACACAAAATACATAAAATATATACACATATATATTGAAATATGCGACGCATAAAATTACAATTTTCTTTTATCGCGATTTATAGCGCGCTATAAATTTCTATAAATTTTGATAAAAGGATAGATAGTTTTAAAGCAATATCGTTCGCTCATTTCGTCATCGATGAAAGAATATAACATAATCATGAACGTAACCAGGAATTCCGATTTGAGCATTTATAGCGTAATCGAATTCGATTCGCAATTTCACAATTATCGAAAGAGATTTTTCTCACGGTATTACGATTCGGACATTCCGGTATTTCCGCACAGGTGTACGTATACGTTCAGAGAGAACAACGTTTCGGGAAAACAACATGTTCGGGGACCGGGAATTCCACTAGTGCGAGTTTGCAATTGAGGTTGTTCCGGAATTCGGAAATTTTGCGGCCTGCGATTTGTTATCGTCAGCTCGAAAATTCGTTCGGTCTCGACAAAACGATCTCGTTTTTTTTCCTTATTAATAGTAGTTTAGTCCATTACTATTCCAAGTTAACCGTAACCGAACGAAATCTCTATTTATTCGGCGGTTGTTTTCGCGAATTGATTCGCCCCTCCTCCTTTCTCTCTCTCTCTTCTACCCTGGCAACTCTTCAGATTCCAACAAACTTTTTAATGATTCCTTTTTTTCGCCCTCTCGACTTTTAAAGTCCAAAAAAACTTACACACTTTATAATTGCATTAAATAATGCTTAATAGAATAAAATTAAAAGCCTCCGTAGGTGCTCGATTACATTTTCAAAGCACTAAGTAGAGTGGCTATCTAATAGGGTACCTTTTAATTTAGTACACGCGGCCCGGACGATAATACTTTGATGAAGAAAGTTCGTTTTATTATGCTAATTAATTAAGCTTAGCTCGCGGGGAGCTTGACTGCTCTCTCTCTCTCTCTCTCTCTCTCTCTCTCTCTCTCTCTCTCTCTCTCTCGCCAAAAACTTATATCTTCTCAAAATTCAATCCGTAAAGTTGAAAGTCGCCGGCGGAAAGCTGTGCGCTGTCAAAAGAGACGTCAAAGTTCGCCATCTCTCAAACAATTTCCGAGACACCGAACAATTTTCCGATCCAAATTGCTGATTACGGCGTGGCCGTAAATTATGTAAGCCGACAGGTCGGAAGATAAACTCGATCTCTCGACGGTGTCTTCAATTAAAGGCATCAACTTGTTATACGATGGACCAGTTTTACGCAAAGCTCTCCCGTCTTATTTCCTGCTACTCCATGTTAAGCTCGATATATATATATATATATATATATATATATATATTAGCCCTTTAACGTAAACTATCGAAATATACCCCGGAAGGATATCCTCGGAGGGATTAAAATAATTCACGAACTCGAAAATTCGAGCTACAAAGACGGAACTTGGCGATCTTGTCGAGAAGCTTACGTGTTGGCGTGCCCCGCATTCCAACTCCTAAAGTACCTTAAGGCAGAATTGCGCAGCACAAAGTGGAATATATAAACGACAGAATTTAGGTTTACATGGGACGTCCCGCCAGCGCTGCAAAATTTAAGCGATCCTCTTTAAATGTTTAAATCCTCTCATTACAGAAAAATTACACATATATCATCAGTTAAATGTCATATATTTTAATAGGAGTCTCCGATAGGTATAGCATAATTAATCATGAATAAAATAGTAATTACATATATATATATTTGTATAATTAACTCAATTACCCTACATTCAATATTATAATATTATAATGTTATATTTATTTTCACTTTCTTCCTTTTCGATGAATAGAATTGGAATGAGTACTGTTAATGAGTTTTTATTACAAATCATATGGTGGAAATTAGATTATTTTAAAAATGTGCCAAGAGAGAGAAAAAAAGAAAGAAAGCGAAAGATGTAAAAAAAAAAAAAAAAAACCACTCAGATTTAACATTTCACACTCTAGTCTTAATTAAAAATTTAACCTTTAATATGCGAATGACAGAGAATGCAACTATAAATCATAAATATATCCCTGTTTTTACGCTCCGAAATCTTCTTCATTACGTATATTGCGGATGAAAATTCTCGCATTATTCTAATACGACATGATCCCCGACGTCTGACTGAAATATGTGCGATGCATATTCATGAGCAACGTTATATCTTTTCAAGCTCGTCACCAATTACAAAAGTTTATATATTACTTAAGAACATGTTCTGTTTTAATGACAGAACAAGAAAGAAAAATCGATAACCCTCATAATCCTCAAGGTTTATACAAATTCAACCATCCATCTTTCCCTTTATATTAATAGAGATTAGTTTTCTCTCGAGAGATTCTCTCTATATAAATTTGTTCCACGGGGGTTTCAATTCCACAATGATTCCTCGAGATTTGCTAAATTCTCGCGGCGACGCTACTGATAGTCCAGTTCAATCTTGATCAATTTCGAGTTAATCACTTAACTGACCGGCAAGATATTACGATCGAGCCAAGTCTATAACGATTTTCGATTATGCGCAGAGAGTACAGTTACAAACTATAATTAATATGTTAATTCTCCGTCGTTGCAAATACTACGATGCAATTAATATAGCAATTACTGTTTATATTAAATAATATGTTTCCCATTTATACGAATATGTTCATATAAAATCATTTATATAGAATTAATTATTAACGTTAGTAATTAAGCAGTAAATATATACATTAACTTTAATACTTTTAGGGATGATAAATGTTACATATAATTAATTGATTTTGTAAAAGAAAGAGTTACTTTTATAATTATATCACACAATTATGTTATTATTTCTAAATTATTATATCATTTAGATGGAAATACAAATGATGTTGGATCTTTTTAAACTCGCTTTAAATCTATATACTATATATAATTAGTGATAAAATTCAAGATAGAAATCTACATATAATTTCATGTGTGTATAATATATTTCATATATGCATGTTTTAGTTCAAATGTATATTTTTTTCATACACAATATATAAAATTGGGAATAAAATTTTGTTCCAAATTTTGTCGAGCAAATTATAGATCGTTTAACATGAACTCTAACAAATATTGCGACATTAAATATAATACGCACGCGCATCGAAATTTAATTTAGTCCAATAAAAAAAAATGAAGCGCGTGTAATACATTTCACCGATAACCACGTGCTCGGAAAATATCCGCCGTATAAAATATCCGCGCGGATGGATCATTATAACTATTTGATCGGCAAGTCAATAAAGTCTGCAGGGAAAAAAAATTATTTTCGCAGTTCATCGACAGCATATTTTACTCGCGTAATTTGATAACAAGAAAGATACAAAAATCGCTCTGAAACTCGCTGCAAGATTTCCGCTTATTTACAATTCCACGCCTTCCAGATTATACTCTTTGAATATTTACTCAGTACTTGCAAGAATAAATCAAAAATAACGAGGCATACAATGCGCAGCATAACGTGAACTATGTTCTTTATCA